AAGCTACATTTTTTCCCCTTTGTTTTCCTCATCAATAACCATGCCACCTTTATGTTGGATTACTATTTTCAAGTATGGAATAAATGCTGAGTATTAGCTTTGGGGAGGAAATCTAAGAAGATAATTGACATACTGAAGGAATTAAACGTAAAAGCTGCTTTATATTCCTACTAGGGACTAATTATAACCAAAGAAGAGGTATAATGTCTATAATTTTAAAAATTAAAAAAAAAATAGAGCTAACATTCTCCTGAGTACTGTAGATGAATCAGTAAAAAATGTTTGAGAAATAATCTTTTACCAGACTTCCCTCTAATTATTCTGGAACTCATTATTGTTATTGTTTAAAACATAAGCCATATATGATTAATAAGTTACTCAATATGGTACCCATACTAACTACCTTTAAAAAGCTCTTAATATTTCTTGGAGCTATGTGGTGAACCACAACAAAAGCAATAAGTTATAATAAGGATAAAAATGGTTACTGTTTCACTGAATTGGTCAAGAGATGAAAAAAAGCAAATCAGTATCAAAGGATTTAAGTTAACAAAACCAAGATTACCCTATCTGGGAAAGTTCAATGTTCTAATTTTTTTAAATATTTATTTATTTGACAGAGAGAGAGAGAGATCACAAGTAGTCAGAGCAGCAGGTAGAGAGAGAGGGGGAAGCAGAGAGCCCAATGCGGGGCTTGATCCCAGGACCCTGAGATCATGACCTGAGCTGAAGGCAGAGGCTTAACCCACTGAGCCACCCAGGTGCCCCGGACATTCTAATTTTTAAAACCTCAAATGAATGTTTCTTGTGTGACCTCTTGACAATTCACAGACATTAATTTCACCTTCACTTTCTGATTTGCATTTACTATTATTTATCATATGCTGTATAATGTCATTTTAACCATTCAGTATGCAATATCTCTATTACTGAGTCTAAGAAATTAATTTAATGGTAAATTCAAGGACTAGCAGAATCACATTACATTTAAAACATTGAGAACAGGACAATGAACATTTTGGCAGGAAAACTGTTTTAGAAATTAGGAGTGACTTTTGTATGGAATTAGGGGAGCTGATAATTATGTTAGATTCCTAGTGCTGCCGTAACAAAGTACCACAAACTAGGTGGCTGAAGACAACTGCAATTTATTGTCTCACAGTTCTAGAGGTCAGAAGTCCGAATTTAAAGTGTCAGCAGGGGGGTGCCTGGGTGGCTCAGTGTGTTAAGCCTCTGCCTTCGGCTCAGGTCATGATCCCAGGATCCTGGGATCGAGCCCCGAGTCTGGCTCTCTGCTCAGCAGGGAGCCTGCTTCCTCCTCTCTCTGCCTGCCTCTCTGCCTACTTGTGATCTCTGCCTGTCAAATAAATAAATAAAATCTTAAAAAAAAAATAACCCAAGAATTGGGTTATTGTCAAGAATAGACAAATAGGCTGATAGAATAGAATAGAAAGCCATGCACAAAAAATGTGCTCCTGTGTGGAATCATGATATTTGAAAGTAGTGCAAGACAAATTAGGGAGAAATGAGAAGTGGTGCAGTAAAAATTGGCTCTTCATGGATAAAAATGAGTATGGATTCCTATCTCACATCATATATGAAAATCAATTCCAAATAGATAAGAGACTTAAATCTGAGAGGCAGAAGTTTAAAACTTTTAAAATATAAAGGATTCTTACAACATTGGGGAAGAAAAGGGTTTTTTTTTTACATTAAATTAAAAAAAACTATAAAAACTGATAAAATTGACTTTAAGATGAAGACAATATTTTCATCAAAATCTAACATAATGACAATAATTAATATAAAGGGTTGCTGCATTTTACCTGGAATGTTTTTTTCCACAAACATTGAAATTATCATTTCTTTTTCCTTTTAATCTTTTAATCTTCATTACATAAATTCTATCAATAATTAATATAAAAAGTCCCATTGGGTCTGACAGTGGCTCAGTCAGTTAAGCATCTGACTTGATTTTGGCTGAGGTCATGATCTCAGGGTTCTGGGATTAAGTCCTATGTTGTACTCTGCACTCAGTGGGGAGTCTTCTTTTTTTTGACTTAAAAAAAAAAACCCCAAATTTGAGGAATACATTTGAACATAAATAACAGTGCATTAGCATCCAGAATATGTACAGAACTCCTAAAGTAAGACAGGAAAACATAACCCTAAAGAAAAGTTGTAAAAAGACATGGTATAATAGGTATTTTACCTATATTTAAAAAAAGGATACCCAATCAATATATAGCAGATGCTCAACTAAGTAATCAGGATAATGAAAAATCATAGTGAAACACTATTTCACACCCATCAAATTAGCACAAATTTTACCAAGCAGGCATATTTTCAAGTTAGTCTTAGAGAAATAATGAGTGGTCATCTGATTTTAAATCTCTTAACATGGCCTCCTACAGAACTATAAGACCGATGAAGAAGACACACAAAATAACACATGACTCATATATTCAGAATTAGTGGAGACAAGAATGGCATGAATTTCAAATTACTTTAAGTTTGAAAATAATCACCAAGTTCCAACAGAGCTGCCATTGAAGCTCCACTTCCACAGCAAGTCTGTGGGCATGGAGAGAAGGATGGAGAAATTTAAAAGTCTTTATGGGCAAAAGGGGATCAGGGCATATAGATGAACTATGAGAAAAAAGAAATCTCTCTAGAAGGACATGGTTCAACAAGAAGTGTTAAATCACCAAATGTAGCTCTGGAACCTGGGAGTCTATGACCCTAGTCACAGGGCTGAAAGTAACCAGAGGTAGCCATGTCTTGGTGACAGAAGATAAGTAGAGAGGGGATAGCACCCCTTCTATACATAGGAAGCCAAGCAGAATGAAGTGAATTTAAGAATGCTGTAGGAATGAAAGAGAAATAAAAGCCACCAGCGCCTGCTGTCTCCCATCGTCACCAATACTTCAATCAAAGATGCTGTACTTTGCCGCAGTGATAGAAGATTATGCTACTGAACTAGAAATCATTTCATAAAATGCCTAGGAATAAAAAAGAGAGAGAGAGAGAGAAAGCTTATTTCAAATAAAGCTATGTAGCAAGAAAACAAAAATGCAAATCAAAAAAATTTCAGAGAAAAATTCTCCCAGGGGAAAAAAATTGAAACAGAAGGAATCTATAATACGACACTTGAATCTGAATTAAATAAGCACTCAAACACTCAAACAAGTACTTGAGATATTAAAAAAAAAGCTATCTTCAGAAATTAAGAAGAGAAATGCAGGGGGAGGAGAAGGAGCAGGAGGGGGAAGGTGGAGAGGGGACGAGGGGGAGTGGAAGGAAGGAGGATGTGGGGGAAGGAGAAGGTCAATAGCAATGAGATTTGACTAAACAAAAAAACTGAAGAATAAATTCCATATGACAAAGACACTATCCATTAAAATTGAAGATGCATCACAGAGAACTTCTCTCTCTTTTTTTTTAAAGATTTTATTTATTTATTTGACAGACGGAGATCACAAGTAGGCAGAGAGGCAGGCAGAGAGAGAGGAGGAAGCAGGCTCCCTGCTGAGCAGAGAGCCAGACTCGGGGCTCGATCCCAGGATCCTGGGATCATGACCTGAGCTGAAGGCAAAGGCTTTAACCCACTGAGCCAGCCAGGCGCCCCACAGAGAACTTCTCTATGATCATTGTAAGAGTATGAACTATACATATATTTGGCATTATCTATTTGTGTTTTTATCTAATTTATCTAATGCGGTTTGGCATTATCTATTAGTGTCTAAGGTGTCATGCTCCACACTCAGCATTTGAAGCTTTAGCATCAGGATATTCTAGAGCAGGGATCTGCAAACCATAGCCCACTGACCAGCTCTAACTACCTGATTTTGTAAGTAAAAGTTTATTGTAACAAAACTGTGTCCCTTTTATTATGTGTTGTCTTCGGCTGCTTTCGTGAAAAGGGAAGAGTTGAGTAATTGCAAAATGGAGCCCACGATGCTGAAAATATTTATAACCTTATCATTTGTTGTAAAAATTTGCTGATGGCTAGCCTAGAAAGACCTTTGTCTGTATGAAGAAACATGTATGAGAAGGTTTATAGTAAAAAACTGAAAACACCAGTAGAACAGACAACTAAATTGGGAGTATCCAACGGGCTACTATAGAGCAGAGAAAAGGAAGCAGATGTGTACAACAATAGGAATGAATCTCTCCAAATAAACTGTTGAGTGAAACAAAGGAAGTATGAACATGATGTTTCCAACTGTGTCAAGGTTAAAGCATATGCAGCTGAACTGAATGGAGTCTATGGGATCATACACATGAATTAAATTGTTAAAGTAGCATATGGGACAGGTCAGGTTGTTCACTTGCTTATCCTTAGGGACAGGGAGAAAACAGTCTCAGCTGCTCTCACAAGGAGTTTCATGGGTACTGGTCTTATTTTCTTTCTTTAAATGGATGGTGTGTCCAAAGATATTTGCTTAATTGTCATTTGCATAACGACTTTTTTTAATTAAAAAAAAATCACTTCAGGTTCCAAATCAAATATCATTGGTTTTTTAGCAAGAGCAAAATTATCGAACACATTATATTATTTCCTCAAATTAATTTTTCACTCTGTTTAACCTACATACCATATACACTGACACAGATATTTTTAATAGTTAGTTTATTTGTTACATGTTTCTGAAAGAATTAGTTGGATATAGATCTACATACACACACACACACACACACACACACACACACACAATTATATTCCATATACTTACAGAGTATTTATAAAGAAGAACACAGTGGATGCTATATGTTAAATGCTCTTGGTTAGCTCACTGCTCTGTTCCCTGGTCAACTAGATGACTCCTAAATTATTCTATCATCTCAAAGTTGTTACTTGTAAATGGGAATAATAATAATCTCTGCCTTTCTTTTTAGTGTGTATAACTTAAAAAATGCTCTGTAGTCATTTGTATAAATAGTACTTTCATTGTCACTTTCACAGTCCAGCATATGATGTCTGTACATCTTTGTTTCAGGTTGTATGGCACACCAGGCAACATTGACTTCTGGCCTGCCCTCATGGTTGAAGACCTGATCCCTGGCACAAGAGTGGGACCAACACTTATGTGCCTGTTTGTTACCCAATTTCAGCGGTTAAGAGATGGAGATAGGTGAAGATTTGTCTGTTATACTTGTCAAAGATAATGAAATCAGTTTTTTGCCCCAAAATATAGGTGTACAATAACATTAAAAGTGTGATTCCATGCTTTCTATGATTTAAAATATTTTGAATATGAGCAATAACAAATAGTAGCTGGTCACAGAATTTTTCTGACTACTGATAATACCAGATAACATTCCTTTTCATAAATTTTTATGAATCTTTGTAAAAAAAAATAAGAAATAGACTGTCTAGAAAAGGCATAGAAGTCAGTGGTTAAAAGGATGCACTAGACTCATTACCATGTGTTTAAATCTGGGCACCCCTACTTGCAACTATTTAAGAAACATAACACCTGAAACCTGTTGCCTCATTTGTAAAGTCTGATTAACAGTAGTACCTAGGGCTCATAAATTGTGGCAACTGTAAATGATGTTGGCAGTGCAAAAGTTGACAGCTGGCCTGCAGCTCTGTCCCTTCATCTTCATGGAAGATTTGTTGACCCAATACCAGACCTCCTGGCAAAATCTGTCCTAAGGGCATTTACTAGTGGAATGATAACTGGGAATTCTTCCTAAAAATCTCTTGGTTTGTCTAAAGTGTTTATTGTAACTCAACTTGAATTTATGAAATTATGACAGACAGCTGGCAGGAGATGTAAGTTCATGTAATATCTTTCTTGCAAGGCTAACCAAGTAAAAAAACTAAGAAAACTGAAAAACTAATCAGCCACCACTGGGTTGGCATAGGACACACTATTAGCTCTCTTCTCTTACTTGAACCAAATGTGTTCCAAGTACTCGCTGTATCTTCTGAATCATTAGTATGGTCTTGAGTAAGGGCTAGGATTCTTGTGAACTTGTTTGACAATTCAACCTTTTGTATTATTGCATAGGTGATATATATATGTCCTATATATATCTCTTATATAGGACTTAAAACACTTCCTAGAACTTAGTTTTTAATTAAAGTTATACTAAAAATTATTCTTTACTTAAAAATTTTCTTCCCAATCTCTTCTACTTATGAATTATATTATAAAGAAAGTAGGAACAGCTTTAATTCCTTTTATTGCACATTGGCAAACATTCATGGTACAATATTTCATTTTTATTTTTATAAATTAGTTTTAGCACTCTGGATTTATTGCAACACATAGTTGGGCTAATATGTTTAATTGATAATAATTTAAGAATATATGTAGTTAAAAACTAAACAAATTTGGGAAAGCTTTGGTTTTTTGGAGTCAACTGTCTTCCCTATTTGTATTAGTTTACTAGGGCTACCATAACAAAGTCCAAAGACTGGGTGACATAGACATAGACAACAAATGTATTGTTTCGCAGTTCTGAAGTCTAGATCAGGGTTGGGAGTGTTGGTCCCTACTGAGGCCTCTCTCCTTGTCTTGTAGGTGGTCAACTTCTCTCTTTCTCTCCAAATGGTCTTCCCCCTGTACTTGTCTATGTCCATATTTTATGACCTTAATTCCCCCACAACACTCTAATGACTTATTTTTACTTAACTACCTCTTTAATGGACCTATCTCCAAATAAAGTCACATTCTGAAGTACTGGGGGGCTAGGATTTCAGACTATGAATTTTGAGGGGTCACAAGTCAGCCCATATACCACGTGAGTGGCAACAGTCTTTTCCTTTCTATCATGTGTTGTATGCCTACATGAGAAAAGTGCTTGGCATATGGTACTGAAATATTTCCTGAAGGAATGAACAAAGGTTCACTTTAATAGTGTTTTTTAAATTGTATCATTTCATTTGAAACCAAATGTGTTCATTCTAATTAGCCAAGAGATATAATAAACTAGTGTGTATTAATAATTACAAAGCAACATTTCCCTTTTAAGCAAACATGTCAATATTAAATTGTTCAGGTAATTCCTAAGGCCAATTTATGGAATTTTAGATTAGAAAGTGTGCTTTTTAAAAACCCTTTAAAACTTTACAAAGCTTTACTTCGAATCATTTTGTAAAACTTGACTGGAAAGTGATAGTTCAAAGCCATGGGATTTAAGAACTTATACAAATTGGAGGCAATTCAAACATGCTTAGTTGGAGAACAAACATAATCCTTTCCATATGTTTCTCTTTTGCTGAGCTCTTCTTGCTATTATCACTGCTCTGCACACAGCTCAGTGCAGTGCTCTGCCGGAGACCTCACTCTGCACCTCTCCTTGCTGACCCCCAGGTTCTGGTATGAGAACCCTGGGGTGTTCACTCCCGCACAGCTCACTCAGCTGAAGCAGGCATCACTGGGCCGTGTGCTCTGTGACAATGGTGACAACATCCAGCAAGTCCAGGCCGATGTCTTCGTGAAGGCACAGTACCCGCAGGATTACCTGAGCTGCAGTGAGATACCGCAGGTCGATCTGCGAGTGTGGCAAGACTGCTGTGAAGGTCAGTGAGGATACCATTGCCCTGTCTGGATCTGCATGTGTGAGTGCTTGTGTGATTTCTAACATCAAAGACTATGCTCCTTCAACAAAGGCGCACGGAGGAAAACACAGGAGAGCAGATCTTCCTTTTAGGAATCAGACGGAGTTTGGAGAAGACAATGGGAAGGCCAAAGGTTCCACCTCCCAGCCTCCTCCATTTGGGTCCAATCTCCTCAGACTGAGTGGTCGGAGGGGCTTGCCAGGAAGGGAGGGGCCCAGCAGAGTGGGGCAGGGAGTGGGGGAGGCCTGGGAGAGCAGGAAGGGCCCAGCAGAATGGGCTGGGTCTTGGTGATGAATTTGGTCTCTTGTTCTCCCTGCCCTTCAGATGACTATGCCAAACATCAAACTCCAGTAATTTGGTACTGGATATATCTGCTTCCTGGGGGTCAGCTGACCACAAAGAGAAGCAAAAAATCATAGTAGCTCAGTTAATTTAGACTATTAGTCTCCATATGATGTTGCACCCATGTTCATTGGAAATTTGGGGATGTCTTGATAGAGTTAGAGAACTTTCTCTAGTGATACAACATAATTTGCCACATCTGCCATATCACCTTTTATGAGCCAAACTCTACCTAAGGTGCTTTGTATGCATCTAGATGCCACCACATTACCTCTTAAGAAATGTGGCTCTATTCTCCTTTAATAAATGAAGAGAATATGGCTTAAAAGTGTCAGATAACTTGGAGTAAGTGGTAACCTATGGCTAGGGAAAGGATCTGTCAGCTGACACCTAGAAATGAACTAAGAGCTTGATGGTTCTGAGCAGAACATGCTATGGTTCCACATATGAGCACATATCTCTTGCATGATAACGCACTGTGTCTCTTCTGCCTTTACCAACACATGGGCCACAGTGGCCTCATGCCTGCCATGTTTAGAGGCTATGCACATGGGGGAGCTCTGATGTTCTCTAAGAAGAAAAATGCAGCTGCAATCATAGAAATAGTAGTTGGCATTCACAGGAGGGGGGATGTTATTAGCCCCAAACATTCCTGAGTGGGAAAAGCAAGTTCTAGAAATAGGAGAGAATGTTGAACCAAAAACACAGTGACATCTGAGTTGCAGTTTCCTTTTTCTCTATGGTGGGTTTTATGGGACAGAGAACAAAGTCATTTAGTACTGTGAGGAGGAGGAGGTGTACTTTTCCTCACCTCAAATTCTTGGTGAATTATGGCCAGAAATAGTGAAATATTTCCATATCTCCAAAACATGGGACTCAGAGAGGCAATGTGAAAAACAAGATGAATGGCAAGTAGTAACACTCCTTTTGCTTTTTCTGCAGTCCTCAGACTGGGCATTGAGCCCACTGAGTGGAGGAAAAAATAGATGGGATGACAGGGTGTGGGCTATGATGAAAATAGCTGTGCTCTGGATGGAAGCAATGATTCAAGTCCAGGAAGAAAAAGTTGTGGTCCCATTATGCCCACATATGCCTTTTCTAGGTGCTCACACCACCAACCCTGTGGTAGGTGATTCATATATAACGCCTACTGACCTCATAATCTTTATGAGTCTTTCAAGGTGGGTATCATTGTCCCCACTTCACATATGAGGAAAATGAGATTCCTGGATGATAACTACATATTCTGAGGTCCCCCAGCTGTGATTTAAACCTATATATAGTCAACCTGAAAGCCTCAGCTCTTTTCTCTGTGTGCACAGTCTCCTTTGAGCATCCATAGGACAGGGTCCTCTTCCCTGGCTGGGTGGTTCCACAGGTGTTAGGCTCCCTTGGGAGCACTTGGCCTAACTATTTCCCAGGGCCTCAGTTCAGCCTTCTCTTGGCCCTCAAGCCTACACTGATCTGCAGATCCCAGGCAGCACAGCTTGCCCTGGAGAGTCCTGACCCCCAGACTGGGAGCCCAGGGTAAGACCTATCTTCCACCCAGGGGAATCCCTGCAGTTCCTGTGGCCTTGAGATGAGGCATCTACCACCAAGCCAGGCAGGCACTTTTCTTCCTGCTTTTTGTTGAGCTGCATCCTGATCAAGGTCTAAGCTCTCTGGGGAAAATCTGAGCTTTCCTGTGTGGCAGTGTTAACCGGCAGGTGTGGTTGCTGAAGGTCATGGGGGTTCCTGTTTAATCATTTGATGCTCTCTCTTGTGTGGACTAAAAATATACTGAAGCAAGCTATGGGAAAACTAGTTTTGATCTGAAGCTAGGGTAGGACCTAGAATTCAGTTATAAAACATTGGTTTCTTTGAAGATTAAAAGCATTCTTATATAGAACCTTACGAGTTCCCACAAGGAAAAAGCAAAACACGTTTTAACTGTTTACTAGGTAGTTCATGCTCCCTCCTCTTCTCTTGTCTGGCAATATATAAATCCCATGGACTCTAAGCCCATGAAACCCATGTTTTTTTTGTGTTTTTTGTTTGTTTGTTTGTTTTTGGTTTTGTTTTGTTTTTTAGAGAGAGAGAGCGCATGAGAATGAGTGTGGGGGAAGGGAGAGGGAGAGAGTCTCAAGCAGGCTCAGGTCATGATCTCAGAGTAATGGAACCAAACCCGTGTGGGGCTCTTGTGTTCTGCGGGAGGTCTGCTTGATATTGTCTCTCTCCTTTCTCTCTGCACCTTCGCCTGCTTGCTCTCTCTCTTTCTCTCTCAAATAAATAGTTTTTAAAAGTAAAAACAAAACAAAACAAAACAAAACAAAACAAAAACAAAAATCACACAGTGACCCTTCAAAAATTTAGGAAAACTTCCCTAGGCATCTTGTTTGTTCCATTTTGTCCTTGCCCACTTCATGATTTTTGTCTTATGAGTTTATTTCTCTGCTCAGCTTCTGTATTTGACACATAGATTTAAACCATCTGCTGTGTTGACTCTGATTCTGTCAATATGAGCAAACTGCAAGTAAGTATGTGTGAAAGAATCTAAAGACAATTGGATGCCATGTACCAGGATGACCTCCTTCTGGGACAAGTTCTAGGTACTCCTGGTTTGATTTCTTTGTTGGACCACACAGCAGTCCACTGGAAGTCACTAGAGGAGCCTGTAATTTGCACAGGTGCTCCTACAAGTAGTACCAGAGAATGGGCAGAGGCAAAGTGGGACTGTGCTGGTTCTGGATATAAGCTTGTATGAAGCAGATGCATGCCTTTGGTACAAGTGATAGGGCAGAAAACTAGGATACTTATGAGTTAGTCTTTAAATACAGCACTCTGAAGTGATTAATATTGGTAAGGATTAAAGAAACAATATTCTAATTCAAATCAGGGAAGATTCTAGTCAAAGATTATTTTACCTACTGTTCATGAGGTTTCTGTTTTCCTGAGTATATAAGAAAATGTTTTTCTGTCAATAGTGTGTCTGTCTATATTATGCCAAAACAACTCACAGGTTGATTCAAAGTACATATAAGCATTAGCCCAGTTTGTGGGGATAGTTATCAGATGAATAAATTGCTTGATTTGTTATTATTCTTATTTCAACCAACAGAGAAGTAGTAATTCAATGCCATAAGTATGTGCTAGGAAACAGTCAAGTTCTTATGAAAAATATGGAGAAAAGGATGAAGAACAAAGAGAGGTTCAGAACAGAGTCTTTGCTGTGGAAGTTATCTTATAAGCAACAAGTATTCAAAGTATTGATTGATTTGATTTGGTTTTAAAGGAAAGGGAACATGAAAACCTCACAAGGGTTGTAATCAAAAAAAGATCACAGTGATCAAAATAGCAAATGACACAATGAATGAATTTAATAAGTAGGAATTTTATTGCACATAAGATAATGCAAGATTTCTCAGATTTTTAGATTTAATATATTATATCACTTGACATAATTTATAAAACATAAAGCATTTCACATTACATGTCTGTGTTCTTTTTCTCCCTTAGCTATCTTAGTTATAGGCCTTCAGAGTGACAGATAACCTGAGAGATCATTTCATTTGAAAAAAAAAGAAAACAAAAAAAGAAAAACCCACTTCATTTTAAGATTAGGAAGAAAAAATTGAAAAGGTCTAAGTAACTTACCCTCACTATTTATTAGCAGAGCTAGGGATGGAATGCAGACATCTCAATTCCACATCCAGGTTTTATTTCTGTTCTTCCTTATCTTACTCTTTAATGTCATAACTAGTTTTCTTTTCTCTATACTTTCCATAATCTCCTCCAAGTCCCTTTTACCTGAGATAAATATGGGAACTCTTCTTTAGATGGTTGATGTTCCTTTTAGAATCCTATGCTAAAAAATTGTAAATGTAACACTCTTGACATTTTACCATCAATTTAAACTAATTTTTAGTATCATTTAATGAATAGATCAAGAGCCTTTGCATAATATTATAAACATCACAGATGCAACTAATAATATTCACAAGTCCTTATTACCAATCTACTTATTTCAGAGAGCTTTATAATTGGCACATTTGTTTGCACTGTAGATCAAATAAATCAAACTCTACTGATAAAATTGATTCTACATAGAGCATAAAACATTTCTTTGAGTGTCAGAAAATGATTTACTCTCCAGTCATGTCATTTTCATCTCATTTAGAAATGAAAAATAACACCTAATGCAGGTGATGTATTAAGACCCCATGCCACTTGATTAAATAAAACTACTTTCAAATAAAACAATTTCACAAAGAACCAACAGATGTATATTTTCTACTGGGGTTTATGGAGCCATCTGGTCTTGCAATTTCCAGCTGCATAGTTTACATTAAGTTCTGTCTTTAAAACATCAAGTAATTTTAAATACAGTATATTTTATATACAAATGTAAATATATTTATGTTTACTCTTGACTTTAGTTTAAATAAATTGTGCTTATGTTTGTAAACTAATGAAAGTTTAATTTCTTCCATAAGAGACTGATTTTATTACCACAATATTTCATGATGTTATGGCTGTTTCATGCTTAACTTATAAAATGCCTTCCAAGTATTACTAAAGAAGTAAGATTTCAGCAACGCCTATAAAGCTTTAATGAACCAATTAATTTGCAACAGTGTTCT